AATACTTTTTCTTACAGTCTTTCCAAATTGTCGTCATGGTTGTACAATCAGTGTATTGATTTTATATTTGGATCAATGTCGTGATTAATAATCAGCTGTGACTCAGGCCTATGTCGACTATTCTAATTTGATCATAACTGCTAATCCGGACTTGTTGATGACGACGTTTTTTAATAAGAATTTTATAAAATAACATGAAAGTACTGTTGGTTCTGTTACTATAAATTGGCTCGTTTAGGAAGTTCGGTTCATTCGTTAATCGATCAATAATTAACATGTCCTTTTTTTTGTGTGCGTAGTGGTCAGAATTCAATAAATAATTTTAGCACAACCGAACAAGTGAAGAAAGTTTAGATAATATTTTTTCTGATGCCTATATGTTCTATCAAATAGCGGTATTAAAAGTACGACATAAATGGATCTAACATGGTATATATATACATACATATATATATATATATATATATATATATATATATATATATATATATATATATATATATATATATATATATATATATATATAATATGTATGTTAATATGTAGTAAATGAGGAGTGAACTGTGTATCTTGAGTGGGACATGATGGCCTAACACTCAACCCAAGCCCAGATATATAGAACCATATGTTAATGTTTCTACCCACCCTCTCTCTCTCACTCACACACATACACATAATTCACACACATACACACACACACATATATATATATATATATATATTATGTGTATGTGTGTGAGTGAGAGAGAGAGGGTGGGTAGAAACATTAACATATGGTTCTATATATCTGGGCTTGGGTTGAGTGTTAGGCCATCATGTCCCACTCAAGATACACAGTTCACTCCTCATTTACTACATATTAACTACATATAAGATGCATGGAGAAACAACATAACAAATAAAATAAATAACATAAACATTTTCAATGAGCAATATATATTTTAAATTTTAATTGGGATATATTTTTCAAATATTTTTTCTCTGTTTTCACGAGTCTAAGATAACGCCAATCCCCTTCTAACCGCATCAGGATGCAACTTGTACAAAATCAACACCATAAGCACCCCATACCTGCATAAAATGAAAACCATCTTTCTTTTTAATTTAATCTTGAGTCAAAGTTCGGCGTCGGGGCGTTTTATGGATGTTACGACCCAACAGCTTGAAGCAAGGGGTAAACAGATCAAACCAGGTCGGATACATGTAAACAAACGGTTTCAGGATTCGCCTAGAAGGCAAATTCCATTTACCCCTACACAACAGAAGTAGTTTTGATTTGCTTGGAACTACAACACAGACGGAAGGCAGTTGGGCTAGTAACATAAACAACACTATCAACAACGTCACTATCAACAACATCACTATCAACAACATCACTATCAACAACAACACTATCAACAATAACACTATCAACAACAACACTATCAACAATAACACTATCAACAACAACACTATCAACAACATCACTATCAACAACATCACTATCAACAACAACACTATCAACAACAACACTATCAACAACATCACTATCAACAACATCACTATCAACAACAACACTATCAACAACATCACTATCAACAACATCACTATCAACAACAACACTATCAACAACATCACTATCAACAACATCACTATCAAAAAACAATATTATCAACAACATCACTATCAACAACATCACTATCAACAACAACACTATCAACAACATCACTATCAACAACATCACTATCAACAACAACACTATCAACAACATCACTATCAACAACATCACTATCAAAAAACAATATTATCAACAACAACACTATCAACAACAACACTATCAACTATAAAAATATCAACAATAACAATATCAACATTGACAACAACATCATGATGATATCTCCAGCATTACAAGAACAATATCAACAATATCAAGATTATCAACAATATCAAGATGTGTAGCAACATTATGTAGAAAAACAAACGGCGTTGTTAAAGCCCGTCTATAACACGGAAGTCTAGAGTTCGTGTACCTGGCTAGGTCTCTGAGTCCACCCAACTCTGATGGGTACCTGACTTCCCTTAGGGAAGGTAAAGCCAGCTGGGCATAGTACTGACCACACTGTCCTTTCATATGATGAGGTCACAGAAACAGGTGGACTCTACTTCACTTACCTCGAAGTACCGCCAGCTCCGAAAGCTTCTTAAATAGATACATCCTCAACTACAAGAGCAATATTCAACCTTATTTATTCATAGTCTAACGTTATCATCGATATAAACACAAAAAAAAACAAAAAAACAACAACAACATGATACTATTTACAAAAATATTTGTTTAAAGCCTAAGTTAAACCTTAATACCACACACATTTTCAAACGCTAGACAATGGTTTACTGTGGGACTATTTCTTCTATAAAAAAGCCGGAAACACCTGTTTCATATTAACTGACGGGATTTAGTTACAGGTACACACACATACATGCAAGCTCGCAAGCACACATACACACACACCAAAACAACCACCTGATCATAAACACACATACTCAAACACACACAATCTACACCGCATATACATACACACGAACATATCACACCCACATACCCATAAATTTTGTATATATATATATATATATATATATATATATATATATATATATATATATATATATATATATATATATATATATATATATATATATATATATATATATATATATATATATATATACATACATATATAACTTTATACACACACACACACACACACACATATATATATATTTATATATATATATATATATATATATATATATATATATATATATATATATATATAATTATTTAATCACTAGAAATGATTCAGTCTGCTTTGTTTTGAACCGCCCTTAAAACATTATTTACCTAAAATTAATACGCATGTTAAAATAATGCTGAATTTACTTTCAAACGCCAGTTTTATTAAAGAGAAAAGGAAAAAGACCCATGACCCATCAAAATAACTCCCCCCCCCCCACCACACCTCCCCCTCCATCACTCTCTCCATCTTCCCCCAACACTGCCTTATGCCAGAGCCATAAAAGGAAAACTCGCCCTGAACCGTGGGCTGAGCACACACGCGGGGTAACTCTGGCGAGAGAGGGCTGCATGAGTTGTTGTTCCTGTGTTTTCCTTCCCTTGCACTTTATTACTTTCTTTTTAAAAAAAAGATTTACCTTTGCGTTTGACTAGCTCTAGAAATATCCGTGAGTTGAACAATTTAAGTCTCATTAGCACGATGTGAGACTATTTCTGGAATGCCAGGGGTAGAAACGTTTGGTACCTAAAAGTCTGAAACCCCATTTTTTTTTCTGCATTCAATATCCATGCCTCGTTGCATGGGTTTGATTTGAAATTGAAATAGTTTGTCTACCTATGTCTTCCTGTTTTTTAGTAATCCACACCTTGTTTTAGCTACATTCTCATCGTCACCAAACGTCACAAAACGTCACAAACGTCACAAATATTGCCAGAAAACGTCACAAAATGTTAGACTCTTACACTATTTCGCCTATATATGATTTTGAAAACCGTGATTTCTTCTTCAAAGTGTAAATAATTTATGGACAACCCCCATCCAACAACACACATTTTAGAATAGTGTTATGGCTTTATAGATCTACTAATAAGTTGTAATTTTTACATAAGTTTGGAATGTTAAAAAATGTTTAAAAATTGCATAGGAAATATTCCGTTTTGAGGTGCCCTACTGCTCTTGCGTTGTATCCATAAAGCTAAGACTAAGATATTTGGAAAAAGTTTTTTAAAAAATTGTAATAAAAACAGATAAGTCGGGGTTGTCCATACGAAGATTGTGTGTGTGTGTGTGTGTGTGTGTGTGTGCGTGTGCGTGTGTGTAGTCGGGATGGGGGTATTCAGAACTCGGTGACACTGCACTATAGACTGAATATAGTTTCAAGATGTAGTACGAAGTTTAATTTTTTTTTTCGAAAACAATACTGTTAAGAAAAAAAAATGAGGTTAAAATATGGCTGTTTACTTTACGAGTAGGGTGGCGTTTTGTGTAGTCATTTAAATGACAACGTGTGACTATCGCTTGAAGCCAGACCAGAGATCACTCCCAAAGAGCCATTTGGCTTTTGTATCACGTTACCAGCTGCGTGGCTAAGGATTAAGTGTCTGGTTGTAGATCTAATTCCAGGAAATTATATCTTCCTGTTACAGCCCCCCCCCCTACACATATCTCAAATCTAAACGCAACCTTCAAACAAAAACCTAACCCTATCCTCCAACATAACCCTAAAGGGTTGTAACTCGAGGGTACATTTTGGGTCAGAGTAGTCGATAAAAATCATACTTATATCATGTCTATTATAACTTATTTAACTTCGTATGTTTGTATATTTGTATGTATTTCAACACCAATAATTTTGTTCAAAGTTATCCAAAGTAATATGTTGCGAGGATTCTGTTACGATTTCATCATACTTACATATAAGTTTAGTAATTTTATCATAATTTAAACTAATTAGGGAACAACGTGGTCGGGCGGGATAACATAATGTTGCTAATTTGGAAAGTCCCTAGTTCGGACCCCCTTCTTGGAGAGATATCTCCAAGTCAAAACAACTGCTGATTTGGATATTATTTTACGGTGGACAAAGAAAATGGTGGCGAATTCTGAAAAAAAAATAGGCTGAAGTTGTAGCTGAAGCGCCACATGTCGCTTGTGTTATTTCTTAAACACCAGATATCAAGAACAGTTTAAAATTTGCTGCGATTTTAAAATATTTACGAGCAACCTATTTTATTTAGCTATTTTAAACTCCTGAAATTAAGGAAAACTTTTCAACCAGTTGCGCCCCCCCCCCCCCCCCCCCAGCTAAACATTCTCTCTACCTGACGGCACCATGCAGACTGGTGCTACCTGACGGTGGGAACCTGTGCTCCCCCCCACTCCCCGCCCACACACCCACCCATCACCTGGATGCCTTACCGATAAGACAACAACTCCGATCCTCACTCTCCTTCCTCCCTGCACACCAGACGAGATATAAACTCACCACAGGTAGGTTCTAGCTCAGCTTTTTTTTTCTAGCATAGCTCAGGATTAAAGATCTTACTAAACCGGTGTCGACTTAGTTATGTGAGTACTTATTACATATTAAATATTTTTTTAAGCACCTACACATTTTATACGTGCTTATGATATCTTTTCGAGTATTTACAGTTTTAGATTAACTGTAATTTAGTTACGGTGAAAATCTTTTATAAATTTTAAATATTTTGGATGTACAATTATGTTAGGGTAGATATCATTTAAAATATTATAATAATTTTTGTATAGTATCTATTTAAAATCGTAAGTACTAGTAAAGAATAGGATACATTTCAGAATACCTGCATTATAGTGTTAGTATTAATAGAGTTTATTTAAAAATATATGGAATTAAAAAAGAAATGAGTTTGAAGTGTACATTTTGTAAGTATATAATGCCTATATATGCCCTATTAAAATGTGCGATAGAATTTAGTTATCGTCCTAATACTAAAAGGTACGGCCACTGAAACATAGCAAACGGTGAGTGTTAAAGATATGTGTGTGTGTGAGTGTGTGTGTGATGATTTATATGTTAACAATGTGTATTATGATATTCGCGATAACATATGTGTGTGTTGTGTATCATACATCCTTGACAAAATCCTGTCTACTCACCTGATTATGAGCCATACCATACAAAATATACTGTTCATATGTTATCCTTTACTTACCAACATTAACATATAGCATTAATATTTTTGAAAAAAAAAACAACTAACTAGCGTTTCTACATCAAGACTACGAAAATGCAACATCCTAATCAATAACAACAAAATTTTGTAAGCGATATATCTTTTTGAGAACCTCTGTTATTTTAAGATAACTAAAAATCGCAGCGTATTTAACTGCTGTGGCTTAGTTGATACAATGTGAGATGATTTAAGCTGCACCGCACCAGAGAACATTTAGTTCTAGCAGATCATGTGATCTATCTTTCTTTGAAAAAATATAATACAACAATACTCTCATAGTTTCTTCCAGGCATCTTTTCTAGGCGGACCCCCCCCTCCCCAACCCCGTAGAAAGTCTACCGTCCCACCCCCCGCCCGAAAGAAATGGAATTTATATAGAAAATATATACTTTTAACAGTGCCCGCCCGCCCCCCCCCCCCCCCGGGAAATTTTAGTCCGGCCCCCCGAAAATTTCAAGCCCCTCCCCCCCACCGGAGAAAAAAGTCTGGAAGAAACACTGATTACTATACCAAGATTTATTTGTTTCTATTTAGAATTGAGCTTTTTTCCTCCAACATTTACTAGTCTGTATTTTGTCTCGAGCTGTTTTTTCCGATACAATTTAAAATAAACAAGAAACTTGTTAAAACTTGTTAAAAACTCGATTTTGTGATTTGCTTGCAAAACGTCCCCTCCGTTTCCTGCGTGGATAAATAATTAGAAGAGCAGTGCCAAGACTCGCGAGTCTGATGTTTCACGGGGTGCCTGCTTTTAATTAGTGTCTTGGTAAGAGTTCTGGAATGAGTTCAACACGAACACACACACACACATGCTAGTATGTATAAGTACACACAATATAAACACACCCACACTAGATAGCAAAACACGCATGTAATCAACGCTAAGACAGATGATTTCCGGCAAGCGTCCAACTTTTAATCTCCTTAGCCGGCACTTTTGCCGGAAATTCACGTACCACGAATTCCCTGTATTATCTACATTACATTACAATTGTATAGCCATCTTTTAATCTAAACCCCATCAGCAACTAAGCTCTAAATTAAACTGCCGTTTGAAATTGTTAAAACTTATGTCGTATAAGATAGTTGGGTCTGTATAATGAAGATAGTTGGATCTGACAAATCTGTATGATAAACAGTGGCGTAGCCAGGATAGTATCAAGGGGGGGGGGGTTCCAATTTTTCGATTTGCACCCCCCCCCCCCCCAAAATTTCGATTTGCACCCCCCCCTCAAACTTTGGATTTGCACCCCCCCCCCTCAAACTTTCGATTTGCACACACCCTCAAACTTTTGATTTGCACCCCCCTTCATACTTTTTATATATACCGAGGGGTCTATGGGGGGGGGGGTTATGACCCCCCTAACCCCCCCTGCCTACGCCACTGATGATAAAGATAGTTGGATCTGAAAACCCAATATTAAGACGATAACTCAATAACTAGAACTCCATAGCACTGTATAGCAATTTTACAGAAAGCTAATTTCATTAAACAATAACATATGTAACCACGGATATTAAATCTTGACCGTAAGCTTCTGATGTCGGTGACATCCCTTGACAGTTATCGATTATGACATTAGCTATCCATCTAACCCTGATGACAAACGATCATAATCTTCAAGTAGTTAGTGTTATGGGTTCGAAACCAGCCTGAACATCGAGATTGGGAAGTATCTACATTTTCTTTTTTGGTTCTTTTTCTTCTTTCCTTTTATATCGTTTACCTTCATTTCATTTCATTTCTTTTTTATATATTTACTTTTCGTATCTCGTCTTTCTTTCTTACACGTTGTACACTTGCATTTGCAAGCAGTTCCATGATCGACAGTATCGCGTCCCCCTAACTTTTCAGGGGCGAAAATATTCCAACAACATTATGTTTAGTGTATTTTAATCATATTATGTTTACAAAACACGTATTTCAACAACATTATGTTTACTGAACAAGTATTCCCATCACCTTATGTTTACTAAACACGTATTTCAACAACATTATGTTTACAAAACACGTATTTCAACAACATTATGTTTACTAAACACGTATTTCAACAACATTATGTTTACTGAACAAGTATTCAGTGATCAGCTCAAATTAGGGAATTTTAAAGACATTTCGTCATACCGATATTTCGGCACATTGTTTTGCTGATGTTAACTTAGCATTAGCTGCACTGTACTGCGTTGACTAAATTCACTTACAAGCAAACTTTAACAAGTGTACGGTGTGGGATAGATTTGATCAATGTGGGAAATTTTTCCTGTTCCAAATTCTGTAGGAAAAGTATTATGTAATAGTCGTTATTGTAATATGTTTTAATAGTAATCTAATCTTATGGCAGTGTATGTATGGCGGTGTATGTATGGCGGTGTGTGTATGTATACATAGGTTACATCTCGAGAATCTAGGAGCTAACAGTGGGCCAGTTTATTATGACGTTTTAATATAAGAGCTTAATATAGGACATATTTTTGTAATTTTTTAACTTAAGAGCTAAACAGTGTCACATTTTGTAATACACGGAGTTAATATCTATAATTTGGACAAATTTTTGTGAAAATTTGTCGCTATGAGCTTAAGAATTTTCTTTTAATTTTTTGGATCGAACTATACAAGGGGTCAGTTTTTTCAAGTATTAGGAAGAGCGTTAGGGTTATTTGTTGTGTGTGAGTGTGTGGATCTAAGATCTTAGCACGCCATGACACGCTAGCCAACAGGATACAGAAGCAAAGAGATTTTAATCTCTGTGTTCAAGTTAGCTGTACCCTCCCCCCCTCCCCCCCACCCAGCCCCCAGTAAACAACGCAAAGTTCCTGCAGGTAGGAATAAATACAAGACGGGGCTGGAATTTTAAAGCTGAGTAGGTAGAATGCGAACCAGGTGAGAAACGGAATGACTCATGGTCAGCACAGGTAGGGACAGAAATAGACCAGGAGGGTCTGGGCCCTGTGATGGTGCTAGACACAGACAGGTGTGTTTCACGGTGAAGAGAAACTACGAGGTAAACTTTGGTTGAAAATGAAAGTTTAGAGGCTTTCAGAGTTATGGGAAATAACTTTACTTGACTAGTGAAACAGGGGAGGTAAATCATGTCTTATGTAAAGATATTAAAAAAACGCAAAACATTTTTTAAATGTTATTATTTTGCTAAAATTAAAATCTGAGTTTTTTTTAAAACAATACAAGTCAGACTGAGTCTGTACAGCAATAAATAAAAACATTAAAAAATTATTATTGCATTGTGGCATACATTTTTGACGAAACAGCGTGTTGAGGATAATTTTCTTTACTAAAATTGATTTGAGAAATTTAAATAACTGTTACTAGCGTCATGAAAAAAACTATGACATTGTCTATTTTAATAACGCAAATATTTGTTAGTAAAAAAATACATTGAGTCCTTTTAGAAAGAAAAAAAGTTAATATCAATCTGTTAAACTAAATTGTAAATATTAGATCGACATTTAGATCTATGTATAAGTAAACCATCTTGAATGAATGAAAGTGGGCTACATGTAAGAAAGAAGTACTTCTATTGAAAATTTGTATCAGTGCTTACAAGCCGTTGATGAAAACTATTACTAAAGCAAAAATTCAATGCAAACTGACGCTGTAAATTACATGTCTGAGGGGAAAAATGTATGTGTTAAAATTAGCATAAGTTCTTACTACAATTTTATACTACAAAAATAGCCCAGGTTTGAATCTACACAGCTAATTAGACCTTAATTCAAACACATCTTTTACTCTTTAACCTAACTCCACCCCCATCGTTCGCCCTGCCACAGCCTCCAATAACAAGCCAACAATCTGGCAATAAAGTTTTTCTCAAGAATCCCAGTGAGTCAGGCCTCAGGTAAACTTTTACCTGATGCTCCAGACAAACTCGCTCGAGATGCCGGTACCTAACACACACGCCCGTGCATTACGTAGAGTGCAAAACAACATTGAGATCATGAGTAAGCTACCGCAAACGTACTCATCACGACATTGCCTATGTACTTGGCACTCACGCATCATGTACTCACGATCGAAAATCATGATTTTGTAATTTGTAAACACAAATCATGATTGTAATTTGTAAGCACAAATCATGATTGTCATTTGTAAACACAAATCATGATTGTAAATTTTAAGCACAAATCATGATTGTCATTTGTAAACACAAATCATGATTGTAATTTGTAAATACAAATCATGATTGTCATTTGTAAACACAAATCATGATTGTAAATTTTAAGCACAAATCATGATTGTCATTTGTAAACACAAATCATGATTGTAATTTGTAAGCACAAATCAAGATTGCCATTTGTAAACACAAATCATGATTGTAATTTGTAAGCACAAATCAAGATTGTAATTTGTAAACACAAATCATGATTGTAATTTGTAAACACAAATCATGATTGTCATTTGTAAACACAAATCATGATTGTCATTTGTAAACACAAATCATGATTGTAATTTGTAAACACAAATCATGATTGTAATTTGTAAACACAAATCATGATTGTCATTTGTAAGCACAAATTATGATTGTAATTTGTAAGCAAAATTTATGATTGTAGTTTTTAAACACAAATCATGATTGTCATTTGTAAACACAAATCATGATTGTAATTTGTAAGCACAAACCATGATTGTAATTTAACACAAACTAACTATCACCATTTAGCACTTTTGCATGGCGCTGACCAAATAAATCTCTTCGTATGTCGAGGTAAGGAAACATTTGAACTCTACTTTATCTACCTCATGAATCGCTAATTCTAATGAGGCAAAAGATATAGGCCCTACATCCGACGCTAAACTTCCCAAATATTCTAGCTCAAAAATTATTTTTAAAATATAGTTAAAAAAAGTATTATTGAAAACTCAAATATTATGTAGTATAGGCAATATTTCTTATAAACAAATGTCTTTTGAACTCATGTTATCTAAAAAAATATAACGGCTTTTAAACTGAATTGGAAAGTGCGTACCCAAAAATATTATAGAATAACCATTTTACGAAAAAAAAATTAAACAAGAATTTACCTTACAATCATAGTAAATGTTTTAAATATCATATTTGTGAAATATCAATATAATACAAATTATAAGTATATGTAAAGCCCAATGTATAATAGATATTTTTTAACCAGTAGAATAGCTACTTTGACCCTAACACTTTTCCATATATATATATATATATATATATATATATATATATATATATATATATATATATATATATATATATATATATATATATATATATAACGCTAAACCAGAATGTTGTGTAAAACACAATAGTTCGACGTACCCAAGTCATGTAACTGTGCAACATGAGACACATATTTGTGTTTACATTTCTTGGTAGTTACCTGTTCCTAGCCTAGCTACTTCCCCTGAACATAGTTCAGGTTATAAATAGCGGCAAGGATTAGAGTTAGAGCGGCAAAGAGTGCTCAACTAGACAGGTGTTGGCGAGGTGAAGGCTATGTGATAGGATGGTGGGGGGGGGGGTGAGGGGGTGAAGGTGTGCGAAATGGGGGCGGGAGCTGGGACCGTTTGGTAAATGTAAAAGGAGTGGTGGGTGGGGGGAGGGGGGAGGGAGAGGCAGAGGCAAGGTTGAAGGAAGGTGGATATATTTTATTTTGTTTCTTCTCCACAATTAAAAACAAAAAATCATAAGGAAATCTAGTTACATTTTCCAACACATAAAATCAGCATTACCTTTAATACGTTGTAAAAGGTGTTTACTTTGACATTTAGAAAATTAAAATCTAAATATTAGCGATTTGTTTACGGAGGGGGACAAGTTACGTCCCGGGCTAGAGGGACATCCCTGTGTTCACCCAGCTCTGATGGGTACCTGACTCATGTTATGGTAACAATGGCTGTTGTGACTAATGAGGACCCTGTATTTGGAGTTCATTGAAACAGATGATCTCTACTGTATCTGCTATATGTGTCTCGAGCATGAACATCGATAGTTTATGATGATGATATTTTTGTTATCTCTCTCTACCTCTCTCTAAAACCTTGTAATTTAAAACACTTTGTCATTTAAAACAACGAGAAGCTAGATGGATGGAATATGCTGACATTTTAAACATAGAATACATAATCACACCTTTTTCGTTCTTTTTCTACCACAGATTTTTGGCATTCCAGCTAGTTTTAATTAATTCAAAATGGCAGAAAACAGAGCAAAGAAATCTGGCATTGGTGCGGAAATCGAAAAGAAATTAGAAATGGTGGGTATTTGTGGATTAGAATTATCTCCTCAGAATATTGCGGGTACACATGAAAATCAGAAATGACAGATACCTCTCGATTTAAATTCTTTCTGATGAAAATTTTGTAAGCAAAGAAAATAAGTCGGCCTGTATGAAAACTAGATCTTCTAGAGATAGTAATAGATTGCTGAACATTGTTTTGTTTTCACTTAAGTGTTATCTTAGATTCATCAAAACACTGATTAGTTATTTTGTAATACAATGCATTTAACAGTACAAACAATTTTGGGAGATTAAATCGATAAAAAGATACTACTGTGTGAAATATTGTTCTAAATATGTGTAAAACTTTACGCATAGAACACGATTTATTTATTTGAAAACTTAACTAAATCTCCCACCCCCTCCCCGGATTCACAGAGGTATGACCAGGAGAACTGTCTAAAAAACCTTTTGCTCAAAATAATCCTAGTTCAATTAACAATGTTCGACCTTGAATCCTTCACCTTGAACTTGTAACCCCTCCACATGAACCTTGACCTGTTTCCCCAGAGGTATGACCAGGAGGAAGCGGCTGGAACAATGAATGCCATCATGGTCTGGATCAACGCCATCACAGCCGGTGAACACGAAGCCATCGTAAGTTCTAGAACTTCTCCATAGCGGGGGCGGGGTGTACGTTGTGTTACCACGTTGGGTCGTGTGTGTTTGTGTGTGTGTCTGTGTGTGTGTGTGTCTGTCTGTCTGTCTGTCTGTCCATCCGACCATCTACAAGACTGGATGAGCAAAGGGCAAGAGCCATATACACCTGACCTATCTAATATGGGGTATTTACATCTGTTATTATGCATTAATGGGACGACGTGGCCTAGAGGTAGAACGCTAGACTGCTAACCCAAAAGTCTCGAGATCAAAACCGGGTTCAAGTCAGTAGAACGTCCCTGAGTCGACCCAGCTCTAATGGGTACCTAATGCAGGTTATGGAAAGTAATGGTGTCTGAACGTAGTGCTGACCATACTATCCCTTCACATGCTGATGTCACAGAAACGGGTAAACTCTACTTTATTTGCCCCGTGGACAGTCCAGTTCAAAAAAGGGAACTTTACTTTATTATGAATGCTGTATAACATATTCATATCGTGTTCCGGGTGTGATGTTCAGTCCTCAAAAGTCTTCGGTTAGAACGTAGTTATTTTCTTAAAGTTAGGGGCCATATGTTCTGCCGGCATAAGGCACCTGCCTGCTTCCAGACTTTTTGTTCATCTAAAATATTCCACCAGGCCAGCATAGATTTTTCTCGCCTAGATGGGTAGCTGCCCCTGATCTGTCGGGTGTTTGTGTGGTGGGAGGGAGGGGGGAGGGGGGGGGGAGGGGCGGACGGGGGTGACGGAGGTTCTTGTGAATCAAACTCGAGAATTTAGGTTTAGCATTCGTGCGAAGTACCACTCAACCACACTACACAATTAAGATCATTAAGGTAATCACACGAATCACGATGTTAATTACTATAGGACTGGTAAGTAGGTCACCAACCAGTTCTATGGCTCAATAAAACCTGCATGGGCCATAGAACTGGCTGGTGACATACTTATCAGCCCTATACTCATAGCTAGTCTGCCTTAAAAAACATTATATTGCTTACAAAAGAAATAAAGGCAAACTACTTGCATCTTTTGCATGTTATTTTTTATCCCTTAACACCCAAATAAAAAGTATAATTTTATGATCAGGGGTAAGATGTCAAGTTAAAGATAGCTGTTCTATAAAAAAAAAAACCTCACTCTACCTGAAGATCAATAAAGCACTCTCTAAACTTTGTTGTTGTTTGCTATAAAAACTTAATCCCACTCAATCCCATCCCTCACCAAAGTGTAGTAGCTAGAACTGTCTAAAAAGCCCTTTTGCTATTCATAACCCTAGTTCAATTAACAATGTTCGACCTTGAATCCTTCACCTTGAACTTGTAACCCCTCCACATGAACCTTGACCTGTTTCCCCAGGGAAACCAATCCCAAAAGGAATTGCACAGGTGTTTGAGAGACGGTGTTATGCTGTGCAAGTAAGTTTTTTGTTTAGTCAGCTACTGCATGGGCTTCACGCTACTTACGGCATGTTCACAATGCTGCGATTGGAAGCTTCACGGCGCGTTCAAAATACTTCTTTTATTATTTTGTTTTTACTTGCCATGCAATAATGTCTTTGTTAATTCTCTTGGCTCTTAACATCTGCATGGATATAACGCTGTTGTCGACCCCATTAAAAAAGCTGCTATTGGATTTAACCAAACATTCAAAACGCACATTTAAAAGACATTTTAAAAATCAATCTTTGGTTGAGCTTAAAATATTATTGAAATTTCAAGGCAACTTTTCCTGAATGTCGAGCTTGCTAGACATTTAAAACCAGTGTATGTATTAAAAACTTGCATTTTATTTTTCAGCTTCGCTTTTGCTTGTTCAAAATTTCTGTTTCACGTTGTTGCATTTTTTCAGGTCTTCTCGGCCGTCCGTATTGTGCTGGCTGTCTAACTAAAACTAAACTTGCTCACTAACGCTTGCTTTCATTGTGGGCCAAGTGTGAGTAAGAACATACACTAATCACGTGACTTTCACAATCCAATTGAATTCAAATAACTACAACGGTTTTTTAAAAATTGTTTTGGAAAAATAAAAGCTTTTTTAAGTTAAACAAAAAATTCCTTATCTATTTACATTATTGTTTATCAAAATATAAATTTACTTGCCTTGTGAAACGTTAAAACAAAATATCCAAAAAATAAATAAATTAAGACAAGTGTTTATTTCAGTAGAAAAATTTGCCATTTATAAATTTAATGAACTTGAAACATCTTTTCTAACAAACTTTTAGAATGCATTTTTAAATTAATTAAGAGAAGTGTGTTTTTTTGTAGAAAAATTTGCCACTTATAAATTTATAAATTTAATGAACTTGAAACATCTTTTCTAACAACCTTTTAGAATGCATTTTTAAATTAATTAAGAGAAATGGTTTTTTTTGTAGAAAAATTTGCCACTTATAAATTTAATGAACTTGAAACATCTTTTCTAACAACCTTTTAGAACAAATTTTTAAACCTTACTTCCAGACTAGTAAATAAACTTCTTGCAAGTGAAGGGAAAGGAAAGGTCAGCTTCCAGAAGAAAGTGGCGTCGCCATTCGTTGCCATGGGCAACATCGAGTCGTTCAACAAAGGGTGTAGCGAGTATGGACTGAGCAAGGAGTTCTTGTGTCAGGTGAGTGACGGTGGCAGGGTGTCATGGTGTCATGATGTCAGTATAACATGGTGTCGGTATGTCATCGCGTCGTGGTGTCATTGTGTCGAAGTGTCAGTGTCTCATATGTCAGTATGTCCGTATGTCATGGTGTCGGAATGTCATAATGTCAGTATGTCATGGTGTCGGGGTGGCAGTTTGTCTTGGTGTCATGATGTGAATGTGTCGTGGTGTCATTGTGTCAGTGTGTCAGTGTGTCAACGGGTCGTAATATCAGTGATGATGTCAGTGTTTTAAAAGTTCCTTATTTCTTACTGTCATGGTGTAGATTTTTCATTGTACCAACGTGTCAGTGTGTCATTATGTTAGTTTTCCTCGGCGTCAGTGCATCATGGTGTCATTATGTCATGGTGTCAGTGTTTCATGGTGTCAGTGTGTCAGTGTGTCAGGGTGTTAGTATGTCATTACGTTAGTGTTCCTCGGTGTCAGTGCGTCATGGTGTCAGTGTGTCAAGGTGTCAGTGTGTCATGGTGTTAGAGTGTCATGGTGTCAGTGTGTCAGTGTGTCATTGTGTCATGGTGTCATTGTGTCATGGTGTCAGTGTGTCATGGTGTCAGTGTGTCATGGTGTCAGTAAGTCACGGTGTCAGTGTGTCATGGTGTCAGTGTGACATGGTGTCAGTGTGTCATGGTGTCAATACAATGAGAATATCAGTATTTCATGGGTGTCAATGTCTCTATGTACAGATAAGTTTGTGTCATTGTGTCATTATACGTTCAGTGAATTTGTCAGTGTCAGTATGTGATGACATGACAAATGTCATCAAATGTGTAAAACTTATCAACACACGAATCACCTCTACCAGCGGCTTCTTCTCCGTCAACTTTATTCAATGATAACCACATTTTAATTCACATTTACAATTACTCTTCCTATGGTCCGTATCTGTGAGATAACCTTCCGTAAACTTCCACCTATCATTACTAAATATTTTTTCTATATTATCTCTCCAGAGCACTGACTTGTGGGAAGGTCGTAAAGGCCCCTTCCTCAACGTCATCAACTGCATCCACAGTCTTGGCTTTTTGGTAAGTTTGCAAGTTCTAAAGACCCTATATATATATATATATATATATATATATATATATATATATATATATATATATATATATATATATATATATATATATATATATATATTAGGATTACAATTTTTGAAGTTCATAGTATCATTTAAACTAATTATGTTTATGTAGATGTTTCATGCATTTATATTGTATTTCAATACAGTAATTATAGGGGTCTATAAAATTTAATACATATTTTATTACTTTATCTAAAATTTTCTTTTCAATTATATTAGGGGTCTCCAAACTTTTCAGTCCGAGGGCGGCATTAACTATCAAATTTCAGTTCGGGGGCCAGTTCCTTCCAGCCTTGTCTTTGATTTTTCTGGGCAAAGTTCCTCAGCTATTACCAACAAACTTTTTTCTGTGGACAAAAAGATCTCCGCGGGCCGGATGAGAGGACATCGCGAGCCACATCCGGCCCGCGGGCCGTAGTTTGGAGACCCCTGAATTATATTAAACTCAAATTTTTAAAAAAATATAAATAATATTAAGATTTCTAATTGTTTAATTCAATTAGGCCAACTCAAAGGGGTTCCAGCCAACGTACACAGGTGAGCAGACAAAATACCTGGACAACGAATAGAACCCTCTGTGTGTATGATGACAGCCACATGTACTCACTCACCATTACAAGGTCTAGGTCATTGAACTAAGCAAATACTGCAGCGACTCCACTTGTGGTTTAAAGACGGCTTGAAATTCTTTATTTTTATGACCGTGTTCAATACGCAATGCTTTTTGTCAAATTTCTCGAGATTTCGTTGAACGTATTTTTTAATTCATGGATTTGTAATATAAACAGATAAAATGCATGTGAATTTTATCGTCAGCTCCGAAAAAAATGTATTTATGTAATTTATTTTAAAGCAAAATAAATATCGAAGCTATTAAAATTCTGGTATTTCTGAAATGAAAATCGTGTGTTAAATTATGTACGGAAGAGATTCTGTACTTACTATTCTTCTTTTTGTCATTGCATTTGTCGTCTCCTATCTTGCTATACAATAACACTCATTATTAAAATACTTGCGTTTGTTGTTTATTTTCTTTTTTTTTTAAATTTACCTATTTTACTGAGTAACTATTACTACATTAATTTAACTTCATTTGTTGTGTTAGATAGAGCTTAGGAAAATTGCTCTATATACGTAAAAAACGAAAAATGGTATATTTCTCATTCTAACCACACAATTTTAAGCTGCACCTTTTACAAGACATTATCTAGTAATAACATGGTACGCGAATTAGCATACACTTTGCGCCCCAACAAACAAAAAAAAAACAAACAAAAAAACAAACAATTTAGACAGTTAAAATAATATTGAACAAAAACTACAGCTTGTCTTGGTAATATTTATTACTGGTGAGGATATATCAAGTTTATGTGGATTTAAAATATTTAAAATTTAGTTTGAAAATAAAATTGCATTTAAACAACTATCAATTCACTCCCCCCTCCCCAAACTATGTTTTCCCCCGTGAAACGTCCTGTTGACTTCTGAACTCACCGTAATACAGCCTAAAAATAAAATTATGTAAATTTTTACGGCTAATTAATAATCATGCTCTCTGTAACTTATAATCAATAATCATGTTCTCTGTAACTTATAGTTTCTACTCTGTCTACTAATGCTTACATCAATTACCACGCACAGCAGCAAGTATGTGTTCATTAATTTACTTCATGAATAATTTTACCTTTGTACTATTACAAACTTTGTGTTTAAGTTGTATAATTTCTTGTACTTACTCTAGCCCCAAATCCAACCAACATGAAATGGTGCTGAGATCCTTCATTTTCCGGGGCTGAATTCACTTTTTAACCAACTGAAGATAGTGGCTTCGGTGTCTAGAGTATTAGCTAAACAAAAAGACTGACTGCCAAAATTGGTGCACTTGTTAGCCTCAACCCTGTTAAAGAAAAATGGTGAATCCTCTGAGGTTATCACACCACTAATCTCGATTAAGGCACCACTTGCCCAGTTAAAACATTTTAACTCACAGAATTGTTTACAGTGTTTCTTTTTTTTAAAGTAATCTTAGCTGTAATCGTGAAAATGTTACATTACAAAGCACTATTAAAAAAAAAAAGAAAATAAAGACAAAAGCATATATGGGTAAGAACGTTACTAATAAACCGGGAGTGATCTCCCCATAAACTTTCTCGAATATTCTTATATAACACAAAGAGGGATAGGGTTCGGCGTGGTCGAGTCGGTAAAGCTCATGGTTGCTAAACCGAAAAGTCATAACTACAAATTTGATATAATACATATATATGACATTTCATCAACCTAGCTTTAACGGTACTCAAGTTATCGTGTTCACAGACACACATACATACACACACACAAATACACACACAGACATACAGATTAAATTGCAAAACTATGTTTTTTTCCGACTCAGGGAGGTGTAACACGTCAAGATTTATAAAAATCTTGATTTTTTTTTTTGCACGATTACAATACTTTATCTTTACTTCGTATAAGAGAAAGAAAAAAGCTTCAACACCACATCTAAAGGTATATCAATTTTTCTTCTAAAACCCCGGGAAGATTAACATTCGGGTTTTTAGGGTAGCAATAAATGGTCTCTAAGCTAAATATTTTGAGTGCAGATGGGCAACATCTTTGACCACTAATAAAAATGGACGTTTTCTTTAAACAAAGAGCAAAAGTTATATTCTGATTTTTTAAATTAATTTTTTAACGTTGAGGTTTTTTTTTTTATCGTACAACTCACCTACATGTTGACATTTAAAATGTATGGCTTGTGCCAAGCCTTGTCGATGTGGCTAGTATTAAAAAAGCTAAGTCTCACGAACAATAGAATCAGCAATTTAGGAGTGAAGTGTTATTTACCTTGAGTATGTATCGCGCCTTTGAGTAGTTGTTAGTTTATTGGCCGGCTTCTTTTTTGTAGTTGTTGGCGGTAGTTTCACATCCGGCTTTCTAACATCCGTTCTGAGAGAAACATTAAACATATATGTTTTTTAACAAGTAAAAACAACATTCGATTTAACATATAGAAATCGATATTTTATATCAGTCTAATAAGACCACAAGGGAAGGATGGTTGGAAGGTAACCGACTGCTAACCCGAAAGTCTTAAGTTAAAAGCACGGTTCTAGTCTGTAGAACGTCCTGAGTCCACAGTGTCTTGATGGGTACCAGATACACGTTAGGGAAACAAAGGCGGCTGGGTATAGGGCTTGTAAGTCTACGGTCTCGAAATCTTCTCGCTGGTAAGTACGAGAACGAGAAGTTGTGACCTACTTACAAGCCCTATAGTGCTGACCACACTATCCCCTTATATGCTAAGGTCTTTGTAACATGAACTTGAACTCTACTTATTCTGCCCCATGTTTCTTGGAAAAAGATGATGACAAACGAAAAAAACTGCTGTTTTTACATTCAAATAATTATCGATGTAAAATATCATTCACATGAATTAAGTGGTTTCTGACGTAAATGTCTGAATATTTCCACCATAATATGATAATTTATATTTTTTTTTCCATTATAAAGATATTGTCTTAAACATGAAAGCAACTCATCAAGCGTAAATTTTTTGGTTAATATTGATGATTAGATGGGACGGCGTGGCCTAGCTGTAGAGAGCTACACAGCTAACCCAAAAGTCTCGAGTTCGAATCCGGATTCAAGTCAGTAGAACGTCACTGAGTCCACCCAGCTCTGAATGATATCTAACTCACGTTAGGGAAAACAAAGGTGGTTGGGCATATTGCTGACTTCACTATCCTTTCATGTGCCGAGAACTCCAAAGCAGATGAAATCTACTTCATCTGCCCCATGTGTCTTGGGCAAGAACTTGAAAAGATGTTGTTTAATGGCAAGAGATCAAGCCCTTACACAAGCGCTTACTCTTACACAAACTACACACAACAGAAGGTGTAAAATAGTCACCAAATTAAGTTTTTTTTTAAATTATCTAAAACAGAATATTTTATTGTTCCTTGTTAAAGGTTTCGTTATGATTGAGATATTACAGAAATGTAATGAAAAAGTAATACTTTCGTTGATATTCCCTTTCAAGGAATCCTTTATAAAACATTTTATATTGCCAGCCAATGTTAATGTATCTGTAAAGAAGTAAAATATGACATGCAAGCGAATAAATAGAATCTGTAAATTTAAATTTGACCCCCTGACCGTTCTCTGAAAAAACGTCATGACACATCCCCCACTTTTAAACGTTACACTCCAAACAGTGACGTAGCGAGGGGGGGGGGGGGCGGGGGTGCGGAACACACCGGGTGACATCATTTAGGGGGGGGGGGGTGACACCAAGGCAAAATTTAACAAAATATATAGAGAAAAATGATAATTCCACTTAATTAAGTGATTAATTCGAGTGTTAAAAAGTCTTTTAAGAGCAAATTTAACTAATCCCGACAAGGGTGGAGGGTGGTGCAAATCGAAAGTTTGAGGGGGGGGGGGGGGGGTTGCAAATCGAAAGTTCGAGGGGGGGGGCGCAAATCGAAAATTTAAAGTTTGTCCCCGGGCGCCGGGAAGGGTCGCTACGCATCTGGGGGGTGACACCATTAAGTGCCGCACCGGGTGACACCTGAACTCGCTACGCCACTGCTGTTACTGAATCCAAATAAACAAATCCGCTCGTTTCTCAAAAAAAAACAGAGGTTAATAGAATTGTGCACCAAATGAACGCAATCAGTGTAGGCCTATATGAATAAAGCTGAAAATAAGTACTTTCTAAAGGAAACTAGTTGATTTTTAAAAGGAAAGTAGTTATATTTTTTAAAAAGGTAATCATCTAATTAAGTCACATTTTGTGGCGCATTGCATTGTCATCGGGTCTTGACCAACGTAAAAAGTTTGTAAGAAATCGATCCCATAAAATTGGTTCAAACATAGACTGCCAGATGACCTTTTACAGCCGTGGATACATATTCAATGTGGAAACTGTTAAGGCACTATGTGGGGGCCACAGAAAAAAAGTCAACATTATTATGTGCTCATATGAAGGTCTATAATGTAGAATAGTGCATGGCCAAAAGGCTTCAGAGACCTTCCCAGTACGAACCGTAGTAAGGCAGGGTTGCCTACTTTCACCATTCCTGTTCCTGCTGGCCATAGACTGGATTATGAAGATGTCAACATGGAAAAGGCAAAACGGTATACAGTGGACACTGTGGAGCCAGCTGGATGACCTGGACTTTGCTGACGACCTGGCTAATCTATATATTTATAATTCTCTTCATGGGGACCATACGAGACACCACGCAGCTTAGCCACCACCCTCATCCCCACCTGACAGGTGAGCTATGGTTCACCCCGAATGTTTACAATAGTAGAGCCGGTTCGAATAAGTGACGGCTATTAGGGGCAGATAATTTAGTTTTTAAACGATTCGAAACTAAGGGGATATAACAAGTTCTGCTTGATATTTTCATTGTCGTCTGTAAACGGCTGCTTTGGCGGGGTGGGGTGGGTGGGGGTGGGAGAGGCAGGGGGGGGGGGGGTAGTGTCGAATTCACAAATTATGAATTGTTGATAAGTAGAAAATAAAACAACAAGATAGCGGCGTATGTTACGTCGCGGGTCAGCTCGACTTATATAAAAAAAACAGTGCTGCTAATTTTTCTACACAGCTATGTTAACCAACAGTCTAGCACAGATACCTACCACGAGATACGTGCCGTCATTGATCCACAGTTTAGTGATGACCGAGAACTTTAGTTAAACAACAGTAAGGTACAAAGGCCGACAACAAAATAGCCGCCTCAATTAACCAACCATATGAGCCACACTATTTTATTTTTTTATCACTTACTATTCTGTATGTGAATTAAAGTTTTTTTTTTAATTTTCCGAAAAAAAAAGGCGCCAATGTTCTCAAAATGCTAGCAGTGGGAAGCAACCCCTCCCCTGCTTACTATGTATAGCCCACTGCTACGCCTGTTACTAATAAATTATTCACATTGCATTTTTACTAGTGGAAGTAATTTTACCTGTACAATAACACAATACGTCCAACATCTCTAGACAATGCCATCTAATATTCAATTAGTTAAAACTAGCTTACCCGAATCCAAATTCCACCGAGAGTGACAAAATAAGCACTGTGGCAATCAACATTTTCAACAAGGCTCCCATCTCAGGATAGATCTATGAGAAATATAATATTGTGGTTAATATCATTGTTTTTTAAGCAGTTCTCTGGAATAGATAAAACTTTCCGAAAACCGGGACTCTGGTTAACGCTATGCTACGTAAAGATGTGAACATCTCACATCATCTTCTGTGTTAAAAATATTTTAAAATTAGTTGATTACCCGATGCGGTGCAAGGTGAACGGGGATATTACAGCGTTGAAAGGAATCACATCAAGTAGTCTATTCAGCGGGTTGTGATAAGCAATACCTAACCTCTCAGCGAGCCCAACTTTCATATCCACGATACACGTGGCAAGCAGGGGCAGGGGCGGAACTATAGTGCCGCCAGACCCCGCAATGCGGGGGGGGGGGGGGCCCACAACATTTAGGGGCCCACAGCCGACCATAATAATTTTTTTCATACTTAATTTTTTATTTACTTTCTTGCATTTTTGACTTGATGGTTGTTTTGTAAAAAAAAAAGATTACCGTAGCTGCGGCTGGATTATCTTTATTCTATTGACACCACCCCACGCTCTTGTATATTCTTTTTCCCTTTGTTTTTAAACCACTGTGAAAGCGGAGTCCTCTTTCTCCTACAATCAAACTTATCAAAGATAGGCAAACGTTCAAACCACTTCCATGACTTATTTCCCTTTTTTAAATATTCAAACAGGGCTCCTTTTAATCTAATATATAAAGCTCAGTTCTGTATGTAACGCATGTTTGTCGTTGGTCTTGGATGGATTTAAGTGTTAGACAATTATCGTGCGCATTTGTCTAAATTTATGAGTTAAAAAATTACTATTGAAAGTGTTGGGAAATAATTTTCATTTTTCAAATTATAGTAATAATTGTCGGCATGTTCATTAAACACAAGTTTTAAAAAAATATCATCTTTTACAACAATTCTAATTATGTCTTTATTTAGTCCTATAGCATTTACTTCCCTTTGATAAATTAGGAAAACACAATTACTTCCCTTTATAAAACCATTGCATTTTTTCGAAAAGAATTTACTTTTGTTTTGGTGTTGGGAAAAAAAATAATTACATAATTAGCGGGGATTGATCAAGTGCAAATGTTGTAGGTATTTTACGGATAAGCTTGGAGTATTAAAATTGTTCATTAAATTGAAACAGGCGCGTTCGTTTAAGTGAGTGCAAAAGACTATGAATAAGTTGGGGTACTATAGTCGTTCATTAAGCTAAAACAGGTGATTCCGCCCCGGGCGTTTATGTTCGCGTTAGTGTTTTCTTTGTGTTTAGGTGGGTTTGCGTTAGTGGTTGCGTTTTGATTTGGTTCGTTTTTGTTCTTTCTTTTTTCGTTTTTGTTTGTGTTTTTTTGCTTGGGTTTGTATTTGTGTTTTTGGTTGGTTTTGCGTTTGGATTTGGTTTGTTTTCGTTTGATTTTTCGTTGTTTTTGTTTTTTTTGTTGGTATTGGTGTTTGTGGTTGGGTTTGTTGTTAGGTTTTTGTTTTCGTTTGCTTTTTTGTTTGTTTTTTCTTTGTGTTTGTGGTTGGGTTTGTTGTTAGGTTTTTGTTTTTGTTTGTATTTGTAATTGTGTTAACGTTATGTTTGCGTTTTGTTGTTTTGGTTGGTTGTGGTTTGGGTGGGCAATGCCGGGTTTATGATGATTACTAAACACACAGGTAATGGTCTTTAACAGAAAGGTTTTTCACAGAAGCCAGAGCAGGGCCTGGCCGGGACGGCTAGTAGATTTGTAATAAACAAATTAAAAAACAATTATTTCTCTTGATTATTTTTTTTAAAAGTAGTTACTAAACAACGACATTGTATAAAAAGGAAATGTGTTTATAAATAATAATATAAATACAAAAAAAAAACATAAAAATAAACATAACATGAGACACCATTACTTATACAAAGCTTGCATGGCTTATATTCTTTTGCCCGACTCAGAGGTGGTAGGTCATATAACAGAGATAAATAAAACTGATTTTCACAAAACACACAATGCACTTAAACACATGACATGATGTTGTAATTTGTTTTAATTAGAAAAAAAATTCTATGTAAACCCGAACAGGCCAGCAATGAGTATCTTATGTTCGTATTTTATGTTTGTATATATATATATATATATATATATATATATATATATATATATATATATATATATATATATATATATATATATATATATATAGGGGGGGGGGCTAAACATTTTTTTTTGCGGGGTGGCCCTTTTTTTCTAGTTCCGCCACTGGTGGCAAGCCGCATTATTATTTAATTTTACGTAGTATCGATACCCACAATACACGTGGCAAGCTACATTATTATTTAATTTTCAAGTATCGATACCCACAATACACGTGGCAAGCCGCATTATTATTTAATTTTACGTAGTATCGATACCCACAATACACGTGGCAAGCTACATTATTATTTAATTTTCAAGTATCGATACCCACAATACACGTGGCAACTAATAGTACTATGTATTGCGCAAAACAAATATAATTTAAAAAAAATTACAACTCGTCATTTTATTTATTTTATGAACAGTTGAGCCTCTTAAAACCGTATGAGATATTTTTTTTAATTAAGTTTTCCTGGTTATCCCCCTTATCAATTAATAAACCATCGCAATTTTTAATTAGAATATTCGTAAGCGAATAATGGACTGGTATTGTGCTTATCAATATCATTGAATCGCGTGAACACAACAAAGGTAAACATTCTGTCTTTCACTAAGTTCAGTGAGTTGGCAAGGATCTATTTTCCAATTTTATGGTTCAGGATTTGGTATCACATACAATACTAGGTGAACGTATATCTTGCTATGGCGTCATTTGGCGTGTCTAGGAAAAGAGAGAGAGAGGGGGGGTCAGGACAGTGACGCCTTTATCAGAAAAAAAATATTAAAACAAATTTGAAACAAACAAGAAGAGTAAATGATAAATAAGTAAGATAATGAAGGTGAGGTGGATGCACCCATCTTGTAGTGGGAGAGAGGTGGATGCATCCATCTTGTAGTGGGAGAGAGGTGGATGCATCCATCTTGTAGTCGGAGCCTGTACTAAAATGTTGGTGGACCAAGGTCCCGATCTACAACATGACTGATACGTTTTGCTGTACACGCTGTTTGTATGTTGGATGTAACTGTAAGCCTACACGCTGTTTGGATGTTGGATGCAACTTTAAGCCTACACGCTGTTTGATGTAACTGTAAGCCTACACGCTGTTGTATGTTGGATGTAACTTTAAGCCTACACACTGTTGTATGTTTGATGTAACTGTAAGCCTACACGCTGTTGTATGTTGGATGTAACTTTAAGCCTACACACTGTTGTATGTTGGATGTAACTGTAAGCCTACACGCTGTTTTGATGTTGGATGTAACTTTAAGCCTACACACTGTTGTATGTTGGATGTAACTTTAAGCCTACACGCTGTTGTATGTTGGATGTAACTTTAAGCCTACACGCTGTTTGATGTAACTGTAAGCCTACACGCTGTTGTATGTTGGATGTAACTTTAAGCCTACACACTGTTGTATGTTGGATGTAACTGTAAGCCTACACGCTGTTGTATGTTGGATGTAACTTTAAGCCTACACGCTGTTGTATGTTGGATGTAACTTTAAGCCTACACGCTGTTTGATGTAACTGTAAGCCTACACGCTGTTTTGATATTGGATGTAACTGTAAGCCTACACGCTGTTGTATGTTGGATGTAACTTTAAGCCTACACACTGTTGTATGTTGGATGTAACTTTAAGCCTACACGCTGTTGTATGTTGGATGTAACTTTAAGCCTACACGCTGTTTGATGTAACTGTAAGCCTACACGCTGTTGTATGTTGGATGTAACTTTAAGCCTACACACTGTTGTATGTTGGATGTAACTTTAAGCCTACACGCTGTTGTATGTTGGATGTAACTTTAAGCCTACACGCTGTTTGATGTAACTGTAAGCCTACACGCTGTTTTGATGTTGGATGTAACTTTAAGCCTACACACTGTTGTATGTTGGATGTAACTGTAAGCCTACACGCTGTTTTGATGTTGGATGTAACTTTAAGCCTACACACTGTTGTATGTTGGATGTAACTTTAAGCCTACACGCTGTTGTATGTTGGATGTAACTTTAAGCCTACACGCTGTTTGATGTAACTGTAAGCCTACACGCTGTTGTATGTTGGATGTAACTTTAAGCCTACACACTGTTGTATGTTGGATGTAACTTTAAGCCTACACGCTGTTTTGATGTTGGATGTAACTTTAAGCCTACACGCTGTTGTATGTTGGGTGTAACTTTAAGCCTACACACTGTTGTATGTTGGATGTAACTTTAAGCCTACACGCTGTTTTGATGTTGGATGTAACTGTAAGCCTACACACTGTTGTATGTTGGATGTAACTGTAAGCCTACACGCTGTTTTGATGTTGGGTGTAACTTTAAGCCTACACACTGTTGTATGTTGGATGTAACTGTAAGCCTACACGCTGTTTTGATGTTGGGTGTAACTTTAAGCCTACACGCTGTTGTATGTTGGATGTAACTGTAAGCCTACACGCTGTTTTGATATTGGATGTAATAGTAAGCCTACACGCTGTTTGGATGTTGGATGTAACTTTAAGCCTACACGCTGTTGTATGTTGAATGTTTGATGTAACTGTAAGCCTACACGCTGTTTGATGTAACTGTAAGCCTACACGCTGTTTGATGTAACTGTAAGCCCACATACTGTTGAATGTTGGATGTAAGAGATGTGTGTCGCCAGTATGGTTCAAGTCGTCGTGATGTGGCTATAAAATATACACATCACAGAGTTGAGCCTCAGCATCATACAGTTGTATATCAATATTATCAATATCACATAGATACTCATCAGTAGCACAACGATTTTCATCAACTTCAATTAGTGTCAATTACCCGCATATTTGTGTACAATCAATACGGGTAAGCTTAGTGCCTAAAAAGATTGTTGTCATTTTTCAAGGATGTTATTATATACGTATGTATAGGCCCATATGTATATATATATATATATATATATATATATATATATATATATATATATATATATATATATACATATATATATATATATATATATATATATATATATATATATATATATATATATATATATATATATATATATATATATATATATATATGTATCTATCTATATATATATATATAAAGCAATGTATGTTTGTGTGTGTGTCTGTTTGTGTGTTTGTCTGTTTGTCCTTTATGCATTACTACACCTCTCATCACATCGACATGAAACTTTGGGAAGTTGTTTAGAATGTTCC